GGATCTTTGGTTATTCGGGTTTTCTCCCGCGTTCTCCTCACATGGGAGAAAACCCGAATAACCAAAGATCCCTATATATATATTCAGCTTTGTTCAGGTATTTCCCATGTCATTACAGTTGTGCTTTTAAAGTTGTAGCAACGTTTCGGCAGAATCTCATCTGCCATCATCAGGCTTCTGTATTGTGTTCGTATATATATTTCAGGCAGTGAAAGAGACAAATCTGTTCATGATGAACACATGTGTTATTTAGAAACCTCTTCTGAAGTCCTCTGTCTGCCAATTTTACAGTTGTGTTATTATTGTGTGCTTATTTTTTATTGTTTTATTAGGCATTCAATTTCTGTGACTCTTTGGTTTTAGTGTTCTAAGCTATCTTGAAAAAGTACATACACGCCTGCCTAACATAATGAAAATAAGCAAAGTGTGACTTAATAGGATGTGGAATATGTTCCTCAGAGAACTAGGAAAAATCCTGGCTTGTTTCAAGAGTACCTACTATATTCACTTATTTACCAGATGTAAAAACTGGATGAGAGATTTCAATTGCCCCAAGGAAAGCCAGTAAATGTTCTGATTGAAGAAGTAACTGTGAGAGGGATCTTGGAGTCTTAGTGGACAACCAGCTAAATAGGAGCCACCAGTGTGCAGCAGCAGCCAAAAAAGCTAATGCAATCCTAAATTGGATTAACAGAGGGATACAATCAAGATCAAGTGAGGTACTAATACCACTCTATAAAGCCTTAGTAGGACCACACCTAGAGTAGCGCATCCAGCTTTGTCCACCACATTATAAAAAAGATGTTGAAACTCGAGAAAAAGTGCAGAGAAGAGCAAACAGGAGGATGAGGGGACCGGAGGCTAAAACATACGAAGAAAGGTTGCAGGAACTGGGCTTGGCTAGTCTAGGGAAGAGAAGGACCAGGGAGACATAATAGTGTCTTCCAATATTTGAGGGGCTGCCCCAGGGAGGAAGGGGTAAATTTATTTTCCAAAGTACCCGAAGGCCAGACAAGGAATAATGGATGGAAACTGAACAAGGAGATTTAACCTGGAAACAAGGAGAAACTTTCTGACAGTGCGAACAATCAACCAATGGAACAGAAGTTGCCCTCGGAAGTTGTGGGAGCACCATCACTTGAGACCTTCAAGAAGAGATTGGACTGCCATTTGTCAGAAATGGTGTAGGGTCTCCCGCTTGGGTGGGGGGGTTGGACTAGATGATCTATAAGGTCCCGTCCAACTCTGGTTATCTGTTATCTGTTAGAGTTACAGATAGAATGTGTATGTGTTCAAGAACTTGAACTTGGATTTTTTTCTACTGAAAATGGGAGATGATCTCCCTTTTGCAAAAGGAACAAACTTTTACGCAAGTTTATTCCTAAACATTTCCCTCGGTTCTTCATCTGTCTTTCAAATAAGTAGAAGAATTCATTCTTCTAAATATTTAGAATTAATGTCTAAATATATAAGTGTCTCTTTTGCTTTCCCTTTTGCTTCTTGGTAGGAATTCTTACCCCATTCTCTTCCAAGGCAGCCAACGGCTTGTTGATACTGTTGACAAATTTGTTGACATGCTCAAAATGTTTGGTCATTTCCGTGGCCAAGACCATGTCAATAATGGCTTGTCGCAGAGTTCGGTATTCATTCCTAGATAAAAGAAGACAAAAGGCGGGAAAAATAGGTGCAAAATTGTGTTACTTTAGTAGGGCTATCTATTAAATCATGTGAATATATAATTTAAGGCATAATTAAATTATACTGTATATTTATTGTATAAAATGATCCACACTCATTATATCTTTCCCCTCGAAATACTCATCTCCCTCCATTGCTACTCCTCCATATAATCATCATGCAATCAAAACAAACTTTTTTCAATTGCCCCAAGGACAGCCAATAAATGTTCTGATTGAAGAACTTGGATTTTTTTCTACTGAAAAAGGGAGATGATCTCCCTTTTGCAAAAGGAACAAAACTTTACACAGTTTATCCCAAAACATTTCCCTACGCTCTTCATCTGTCTTTGAAATAAGTAGAAGAATTCATTCTTCTAAATATTTAGAATTAATGTCGGCAGTGCAAACCCTTTTAAAGAATCCTGGTATTTTAGAAACCTACCTCTCCATGTTTTTAAAAATGTTGCATTTATCATCCCGGGTGGTGATCTGGAAGGCTAGCGCTGCATGATGGCTCTCCAACACTGCTGTGTCATTATATAAAATGGCCAGTTCGCTTCCGGCGTTGCACAAGAAAGAATTGGTTCGTCCCGGATGGTCCACATCGTGGACGGTGGCAGCTATCAACGCAGCAACTTCGTCAATGGGATCCAAGGTTTGCTGAGAAGAAGAATACTGTTGTGGTTAGCTGGCAGCAGATGCGGACGGCTGAGGAGAGTGAGGACCCAGATGAGGGGCCAGGACCATTAGGGAGTGGACTGCTGCCTTCAGAGATTGTGGGGGCTGGCAGCAGTGATGAGGAGGTTCCTGAGGAGCCTGTGCCAAACACACATGCATGCACGATTGATCGTAGGAGAGAGCAGTTACAACAGCATGGGTGACTCGGGAGTAAGGCTGCAAGGTAATGGCCCCTCCCTCAAGAAGATAAAAGCCAGCTTTGAAACAAACATTCTTTGCAGAAAGCAAAGACATTTTAAAACTCCACCTCATGGACATTCCAGTATCCTGAGTTTGTATTTGAACATTTTTGTATTGCAAATTGTTTCTTGCCTGTTATCTTTTGGCAAGTCTCGCACAGTTTGGCAAGACTTGTGCTTTTCACAGCTAACTATTTTGTAAAAGCATTACAAGGTTTCTGTTCCTTTTGGATTGCATTTGATTTGTCGGAAAAGGGCATGGGTCAGAACAAAGACAGAGAGAGGCTGGGAGATGCTCAGGAAGAGAGATGCTGTAACAGTTATACTGTAGTTCAAGAACATCTCATCAGGAAATTTCTAGGCACCTGGAGTGATCTCATTGCAGTCACGCCAGAAGCAATTAGATGGTTAGCTTCCTTAGATGATGAGCTGCAGGTAGTCCTTGAGTTATGACCACAATGGAGCCCAAAATGTCTGTTGCTAAGTGAGATAATTGTTGAGTGAGTTTTGCTCCCTTTTATGATCTTGCTTCCCACAGTTGTTATTAACATGGTTATTAAGTGAATCTGGCTTTCCCACTTGTCAGAAGGTAACCAAAGATGATCACATGACCCCAGGACACTGCAACCATCATAAATATGAGTCAGTTGCCAAGCAGCTGAATTCTGATCACATGATGCTTCAACAGTTCAGCATCTTCTTTTAATGACCCCATAATCCCTTGTGGGGTGGAGTCTGGGCAACTGAATGGAGCTGAGGGTTTAGTGGCCGGATGCCCTTCCTGTTGCCAATGTGGAGTTATATTCGGCAGATATATTGTGCCCAGAGAGAGAAATATCTGCCTCTACGTAGGGTCAAACTCACAGCCTCCTGATTGTGAGACGAGAGCTCCACCTCTAGGCCACTGCATGGGGATGTTTTAACAGTTGTGAGTGTGAGTAAGTGTGAAAAACGGTCATGGTATTTTTCCAGTGCCGTTGTAACTTTGAATGATCATCAGTCAGCTTTTTCAGTGATATTGTAACTTCGAACAGTCACTAAATGAAAGCTTGCAACTCAAGGACTACCTGTATAATATTGATCCTATTGCAACTCTATGGCATCCTAAATGAGGCAATTTTATCTTGGCTTTACCCTAATTTTATCTCATCTACTGTATGGTCCGAACACTTTACATATATAGAACACCATACATATATAGATGTTTTATAATGTTTTGTACATATAATATGTTTTATTAGTACTATATAGCAATAGCAATAGCACTTATATACCTTTCTGTGGTTTTCGCAGGTATTTGTATGTGGATCTTTGGTTATTTGGGTTTTCTCCCGCGTAAAATTGGAAGTATCTAGGCGACGTTTCGATGAAGTCTCATTCATCATCTTCAGGCTTGTGTCTTCGGCTTTGTGCTTCTCGGAGTAATGTGAGCTTGCAGCTGCTTCTTCCTTTTAACTGCTAGTGGGGGTGTGACTTGATTGGGTGGGGGCTTGGCTCACATTACTCTGAGAAGCACAAAGCCGAAGACACAAGCCTGAAGATGATGAATGAGACTTCATCGAAATGTCGCCTAGATACTTCCAATTTTACGCGGGAGAAAACCCGAATAACCAAAGATCCATATATATATGTGTGTGTGTGTGTGTGTGTGTGTGTGTGTGTG